CAGAAGCACAGTACGTGCAATCCCCACACATATCGTTCATCTGCAGGATTCTCAGAGACTCGGCAAAAACAGAATCAGAACAGAGAGCAAAAACAAATCACTGTTCAAATTCTCGCATCACAGCATTCACACTGATAAGCTGTAGACTATTTTGTTCAACGTTGCCATCTAACCTACTAGCATGAAAATACCACTTTATGCTTATAACAACATCGCTGGCCAAAAGAATAAGCTTATTTACTTACTCACTTACTTCGACCATATTTTCATTTTGCATCCTCATTCACACATGTTTCTGAACTATTTCGTAAAATTCATCAATGCTCGAGACCCCAGGAAACGTATACCCTTCGCTCTTGAAAACGAAAGAGAGAAAACTATTTCTCGACATTTCAGTTAACAACAACTCACTAAATAAAGTCACACTTCTTGTTTTCAGAAAAGATACAAAACTCAAACGGGCAGTTACACCGTACCTCCAACACACCCGCATCTTTTCCCAGAATAATTTTAAAAACATGAGACTAAGGGCCAAATGGTATTGCTTAGGACCTGCCATCTTTAGCTTCTTGAATGAAATTTCTCGTTGTTTCGCAAAAAAGAACATACATACAAGCTATAATCTAAAATCCAGTTTTCAATATCCCGAAATAAGGTCACCAGAAGAAGCCTGAAGAGCCAACATCTCTTATCACTATACCGTTAAATCCTGGCATCTCTCCCGTACCTAAACACTATCTCTAAAAATGAAGCCCGCAGGTTCTTTATAAAATACACAGTCCTTTAGAATCCATTTTATACAGGCAATTACAGCCAAAGTTAACCACGACAAATCTGATGTGGTTTACCAAACTAGCTGTGAAAATTGCGATCGAATCTACACTGTTAAAAAAACGTTTAACGTGAGAATAACGTAACACCAAGCTGTTAAGAAAAACCGCTCAGAGCACTGCGGAACGCTTGTCTGAGTCGTTAGTGTACAAGCATAACTTTAACAGAAAACACCGGCATCTTCTACTGTGAAAACACCGCCAGGCTCAGCTCGTTGATTAATGAATCTCTACATATTTCATTCAACAAGGAAAGGATGTGCAGCAACTACACAAGCTGAATTGATATCTATTCTGCCTGGAAAGCTATAACGTAGCCAAAAATTAAAAGAAAAAAAACACCTGTTATTAATTTTTAAGACTTCCTTGACTGCTTCAGTTTCAAAACCCAGTTCAACCTCTTTGTAAAGTTTCGTCAAGTCGTGTTGTAGATTTGCTTGTTCGTCTTTTACATCACGCTGTTTCGTAACTTTTCTGCACTTCTCTACTGAATTGTTATACGGAATTTTAATACTGTATCCTTGTGCCGTGAAAATCGTCCTGATGAAAGCTTCTGTGCCGGAAGCCGAAACTACGCATTAAAATAAAGGAGTATCTTATGTCACGCCCAAAGCCATTTGTGTTGAAAAAAGGGAAAATTTATAACTTTGGCATGTGTTGAAAAATGACATTCCGAAAAAACAAAATTACACTGTTTTTCTGCAAAACAGTCCATCATCAAGGATCACTTATGCATTTCAATGAGCACTGTCCTTCCAGTTCTCTCAAAACTCAAATCTTCAGCACATCGTTTTAGAGGAAGAACAAATACTTCAGTCACATTAAGTGTAGCGCATGGACCTGTACTTTCTGGATGTTGTGGGTAAACTTCAGCTCAGGATCACGCGCAGAATCAAATGCTGACTCCTTTGAACTTTCTAAACGATCATTCGCAAATGTCGCGAGAGCGACAGCGCCGTGTGCTTAAGCCATATGACATTCCAGTACCTGCAATATCTATGAAAGACAAATTGAAATTGAAACAACGACCCTTTATAAATAAAGTTGAGCTTGCGACCATGTCCCACACTGCACAAAGAAACAGTGATAATCAATCACAAGAAAAAAGGGGATGTCGTTAAGTCTGACATCCAATATGTCAAAACAAGTCTGCTTCGACAAAACCTTCAAACGACGACACTCGTTAAATACTTGGACAGTTTACACCATAAACCAGTAATGAACAGTGACTGGCTGGAACACTTAGAAACAGATGTTTGTTGATGATGCCCCGTGCTAAGCTGAGAATCTATTACCCTGGAAGACTCTCCCATAGAACCTAGAGAAAAGAAAGGAAGAAACCTGAAAACTGTTCGAGCGCCGTGGTAAATTACACGTTCTCTATGATGCCTGTTTGCCATTTAAGAACAGTATGGCAGTGATCTCCGTCACAATACCACCAGTCACGAGTCGCTTTCTTACGACAAGGCACGTTGTAACAGCCATGTGATCGCCGCAACATGCAATCTCTTGATTCCTTTCCATAATACGGTACCTGTTATTTCTTTTACTTCGTTTATAACAAGTTCGAGTCTACTGTTTTCACATTCCTCGATCCATGGTCGAATCTTCGGTCACTAAAGATTCAATCAGTTTGTTCAGGTAGGCAATAATAATCTATAGTTCGCCTGGCGACGCCATGGTCGACCAAGGGTCTTGTTTATCACCTGCACTGTTCTTCTTATCCACGATGTGAAGTCTCCCATTTGATGCTAGTACCGCGTGCGTTGAAGTACGCTGACGCCATTGGCATCAGTACAGTGCTGATCTGCATTACTGCGTTTCTCCGTCTTCATTCAAAAGACAGCGGGACGGCGGACTGTGTAAGCGACAATGGCTTATAATTTAATCCAAACAGATCTATGAATTGTCATTTCCGGCGTGCAGGGCGTGTAAGCGGGGTTTGTTGCTTTACCAATTGCATAGTTTCGCAACAATTCGTTTTAAAATTTGTGGTAAAATACCTAGGGTTGATTGTAGATGAGAACCTTGGCTGGAAACAACAGATGAATGTAATGGCTGGCATAAGGTTTGACCGAGGAAAGGTATGTCAATAAATGCATATTATTTAAACTCGCGCGGGTCTCCCGTTACAGACTAATCACCGCACGCTTGCAACCTTACCATTATACCACCACTCTAAACACATCAACAACAGCCACCAGCCCGGAACCAAAACACAACGCGACACCAAACGACGGAAAGACAACTACTCCAGGCTTGACCCCACCAGCAGGTGGTTTGCCACCTCTTGAGGTGCAAGATCGCTGTAGATCCTGCTGCGCATTCAGCGGTGATTGTGAACTTTTCGTGCATTTGCAGGGATAATATACCGGACAACCCGCTCGTCCGAAGAAACTTATATTCAAGAAACCATTAGGACACTGAAGAACCGCATTAGCTAACCAAGCTTGTTTCAGCTGAGCAGATGAAATGACGTTTGGCGTGGCTGAGCACAGCATACAACAGAACCGTGTCATAAAGTGCGATGCAAGCAAAATCGTTCGCATGGAAGCCAACTAGAACAAAAGAAATAGTCTGGAAACGGTCACGAAGGAGCGGACAAAAAGCAAAATCAACAGGCATGAAGAAGCTTACAACATCTCTCCAGCATAACTTCCGAACAAATATGTACTATTTGAAGCGATCCGTTACAAACTCATTATCATACTCTTCCTACCTTGCACTAATGCGCAAATATTTCAAATATACATCAGGAAAGAGCTCCGGCACGGCACTGAAACAGAACTCATCATCAACAAATGGGAACATAACTACTCCACCCACAGATGTCTCGCTACTTGA